GGCTGGGCGCTGCCTCTTGATTTATACTTCAGAAACTCGTTGGTCTGCCCTTTGCCATCGGCCCTTGGTGCTCACAGTCCCCCTGTGGTACTTGCTGGACCGGACTGGGACGGACTGGACCTTCTGCTGACTGACTGTGGACTCACCGCTATCCTMCCGACGTTGTACTGCTGTTGCACTGCGGTTTAGTCCACCACTTGCCTCACCACTTGACCACTTGCCCACTTGCCTACCTTCTAGAAGGTCTACAGCTAAGCTTCCGGAACTCACTAAGACTCCTACGCTCTAGACCTACAGATCGAACCCCTGCTGCCTATGGACCTACGACAGGCCTACCAACTGCCTACGAATACACAGGTCACAGGTTCAATTCTCGGGGTCTACACAGATACTGTACATGGGTAGGGACGGTCCATCCTCTCCGCCCTTGACTTCTAGAACCGGCCACGGTCCTCTATATGCAGTCAGTAACTTCTGCGAGATGTTTTCTTCCGGTGCAAACTCTTTTGCCTTGACCCAGACTAAGTCGCCTACTTGAAACTGTGATGGGCGATGGTGCTTGTTAGCCTGCTCTATCATTCTGTGCTGGGCCTTCCGAAGGTTCTCAACAACAGTGGCTAACTCCTTTTCGTGCTGTATCGCAAACTCCCTGGTACCGGGCGGTAACCTATGAATCTGATCCCGGTTCAGTCCTTCGAACGGTCTGCGCGGTCTAAAGGACTTGTGCAACTCATTGGGAGTGCGGCAGGTGGATAGATGCACGCAGTTGTTGTACGCACTAGCGACCTTGGGCAACATCTCATCCCTGTTGATCTGATCTGGTCTAATATACATGCGCAGAACTTGCTGTAGGATCTTGTTCATCTGTTCTGTCTGACCGTTAGTCTCTGGGTGACGGCCGGACGACATTAACAACTTAGATCCGTAGACTCTCATGAGTTCTTGCCAGTTCTGGCTGGTGAAACGACTATCTCTATCACTAACTATTGACAATGGGATTCCATTCTCACTAACCCAAAAGTCAAAGAACTTCTGTATTACTAGATCCGTACGTGCCTCTGCAGGCAAAGGAACAAAAACTGCATACTTACTAAAACGGTCGACTATGACCATGACTTGGCTCGTACCATGTCTGCTCTTGACTTGCGTGTCCATGAAGTCTATGGACACTGAGTCTCCCGGCTGATCCGGAATAGGCAAGGGTCTGAGAAGACCTAGGGGCGCGCGTGTAGTAGATTTGTTTCGCTGGCATACTTTACAACTGCGGACATACTCTACGCAGTCGTTCTTCATCCCAGGCCATGTGTACGCACGCATCAGATTGGCTAACGTCTTTTGCCAACTGAAGTGTCTCATGGTCAGAATACACTTTGAAGTGCCTCCCAAGCAGATAGTGCTTCCAATGGTCTAAAGCCTGCCTGAGAGCGTAGAGTTCTCTCTCGTACGTGGAGGTAGCGACCTTCTCACAGGGCATCCTCGCTGACATGAACTCTACGGGTCTATAGCCATTGCCGTCGTCTTGCTGCAACACGGCGCCTATCCCATACTGAATTGCGTCTGTGGTGACGACAAATGGCAAAGACGGATCTGCAACTTTGAGGACAGGATACTCTATTAACGCGCGCTTTAGCTTCTTGAGCGCAGACGTACAGTCTTTGTCCCATTGCCAGATGGCCTCTTTCTTCAGCAATCGGCGCAAGGGAGCGGCGATAGTGGAGAAGTTCCTTACGAACTTCCTATAGTAGTTAGCTAAGCCTAGGAACGACCGCAACTCTGTAAATGTGCGGGGCGTCGGCCAATCTCTAATCGCCGCGATCTTGATGTCCTCTGGCTTGATGCCATCTCCGTCTTATACATGGCCCAAGTACAAAACTTGCGTCTTGGCCCACTCGCACTTCTTCGCGTTGATCTTGAAGTTAGCCTCTCTAAGCTTCTCCAAGACCTGCCTCAGATGACCCTGATGCTCCTGGAGGGTCTTACTAAAAACTAGGATATCGTCTAGATAGACTACTACAAACTTATCTAACCATGGTCTGAACAGGTCATTCATACAATGCTGAAAAGTGGTTGGCGCGTTGGTTAGTCCAAAGGGCATTACTATAAACTCATAGTGCCCATATCTAGTCCGAAATGCAGTCTTATACTGATCATCAGGATGGACTTCTATCTTATGGTATCCGGACTTCAAGTCTATCTTGGAGAAGTACCTACAACCCTGCACCCGATCTAAAAGATCGTCTATCTTGGGCAGCGGCTCACCATTCTTCACGGTGATCGCATTCAAACCCCTATAGTCTATGCACATACGAAGCTCTCCTTCCTTTTGGGGGACAAACAAGACTGGTGCTCCAAAAGGAGACGAAGTGGGCCTGATCCAACCCTTCTCAAGGAGTTCGTCTAACTGCTTGCGAAGCTCCTCTAACTCTCTAGGGGACATCCTGTAGACTGCACCCTTAGGAGTTCTACTGCCAGGCTCTATCTCTATCCTGTGCTGAATGGGTCGCGACACTACTCCTGTTGGCGACTCAGTCAAGTCTTTAAATTCTTCCAGCACCCTGGCAATTGTTGGATCTGTGGAGCTATCCTTTTCCTTGGCCTCAGTGACAAGTCTAACATAAACTACAAAGACCTGGTCTTCTAACTGCTCCTTTTTGACTAATCGCGCGAACGCGGGAGCACTGAGACAGCAATGTGCCAAGGTGTTGTCTAC